CGCAGAAGCCGGCCCAGCTAGCCTGGCCTCCCTGGCGGGTCCCAGAGCGGCTGGCCTCATCCCTTGCGCAGGCTCTGCTCCGCAGGGATGCCCCGCTCTGTTGGACGCTGTTGCCGTACTGAAATGTCCATTTGTGTGCGTGTGTCTGTGCTTGGTGTTGTGTGCGTGGGTCTGTCTGTGCCTGGGTGCGGTTGGCCTGTGTCTGTGTGCGCACGGTGGCTGTGTGTGGCTGTGTGTCCCTTGTGTTCACAGAGAGTCTGGCCAGTGCCAAAGAGGAGAACGTTGGCATCCACCAGGTCCTGGACCAGACCTTGTTGGAGCTGAACAACCTCTGAGCTGCCTGGGGAGCCCCCCGTCCCTCTTCCCTACCCCACACGTGCACCCCACTGGCACGCTCTGGACGTCATCAGCTAAACTGCGTCTTGGCCAAATCCACGCATCCATTGAGAAGGGAAACCCTGCAGCCTTACACCGTGGCTCAAGGGTGTCTTGTCTGTGCACAGCCAGAATGGCTCTGTCCTGTCTTCATGTCCAAATATTAAAGCAGTTTGACAAGATGGATGAGTGTGCTTAGTCCTTGTGGGTTCGTATGGACACTAGGAGATGTGTGTGTGTGTGGGGGGGGGGGTTCCCTTCCTTATTCGTGCACAGAGGCTCTGGGCCTCGCTATGGGGCAGGTAGTGGAGTTGTAAGGACACCCTCCTTGGCTCTGGAGGGCTGGGAGTGATAACGCACATGGTCTGGGCTGCGTTCCCACATCTCCAGCTCTTCCTTGGGATGTGAGTGACGCACAGCCTTAGGGGAGGAAACTCAAAAGTCCAAACTGACCATCCTTCAATCAGGTGCACATTGATAGCAATATGTCGCTAGTATGACCCCTACCATAACTGGCACGTTACCTGCCTGGCACTCGGGAAGCCATGTTGACTTCTCCATGGAGTCCATCTCATGGTTCATGCTAACCACGCAGTCTAAGCACATGTACAAGTATGCGTCCACACGTGTGCACACACTATTGCTTATCAGTGTCTTCTGCAGGTCTGCAGGTAGCTGCTTACCCTGCGCACTGGTTGTATTTTCTATTACCAGTTACTGAACACCTCCTCAGGGACAGCTGTCTAATCTAAAGTAGCAGATATTAATATGATAGGCAATCAGTTCCTGAAGGGCTCGGGCAGATTCCTCCGCGTTTGTTCCTTTTTCCCTCAGAAGAAAGAGAAGAGTGGCAGCACGCCGTCTCCTGGCTGACACCAAAAAAGCGGGGCTCCCCTGGAGACGCCCGAGCGTCACGATCTAGTTCTGCCCTCCGGTTTGGGCCTCTCCACGATTTGCCTCGAGCCCTGTTCTCCCACACCAACAGGCGGATATCCCTCTCAAAGCGCAGCCTCCTGCTGCCAGGAAACATCAGTCACGCTGACCCCTTGATGAGCCAGGCCGTAACCCCGGCGAGCGCCTGACAGGGATCGCTCCTGTTATCCGCTTTCCTTTATTTGCTGCACCTCTCCTGGCTCAGGAAAGGAGGAGGCTGAGACTGCACCTCTTTCCTGCAGAGGTGCTGCCGGTCCCCAGCCCCCCCCCAAGCCCAGCACCTCTGGTTTGCGGCTCTGAAGACCTTATCCCCGGCCTCCCGCAGGGCTAAAGGACTCCCCTCGCACAGGCTGCTTGGCCACACCGTGCTCCTGCCCCGGTTTTCCCCGTTGTCCCTGAGTCGCAGGGCCGTGCTGGAGGGGAAGGGACGGCGGCGCTCAGGGCACTGGTGACAGGAGG